ACACACACACACACACACACACACACACACACACACACACACACACACACACCGTCTGCATGCATGACTACAGCGGACGGTGAGAGTGAACCAGAAGCAGATGTGTGTTAATTTATGTAGTCATGGAATACAAACAACCACCACTATTCGCACAATCGCTACTTCCCACTCCTACGTTTTTTGCGAGTATGGTCTTATATATTTCTAAAGACCCCTGCGGTTGATCTGTGAACACGCACGTATACATACACACCCAGCGCATACGGGTGAAATATCAATCACTAATGTCATCATGCGATAGAGCAACAAGCCAAGTTAGGGGCTTAATTTTCTCTTCTTTTAAGAAGCTAATGTGTGCTTTTCGATTTTGTGTTTCTTTCATCGCCAGAGTGGGTGGAGTGGGTGGCAGCAGTAATATACATGTCTCGCGATAGAAATAGTAGACGCACAGACGGACGCACGTACGAACGCCCGTACCTACTTATACAGGCAGCCAAGCACGCAAGCACATAGCTAGCTGTAGTACTACGAAGCACACAAATACGCACACACGTGCGTATACATGTATGAACGCACGCAGACACACACCGACGCACGTACGTACGCACGCAGGCCGGCACAGACATTTGTATGGGTGCATGTATGTGTTTGTATGTGTGTGTGCGTCGCTTAGTGCGTGCGTCAGTGTCTTTAAAATGTTCATTACGAACAATTTTTCAGAAGTCACAAAAATCCGTTTCCTCAACAAAATTATTTTTTAGCCTGGCCACAAGTCATGGCGTAACATAAGTATGTCATCTAACACGCACAATTCACAGATAATATCAGGAGCTATTGACCTATTGGCAATATTTGTCATTATTACCTCCTCATTGTTTGTATATAGGTCAACATTTCTATTTACATGAATAGAAGCGTATTATTTCCGCATGTATTATTATAAAACCCAGCTTATGTATCCGCTGCAGCTGCCGCTCGTTACATGAAGCCGCTGACGCATAATAAAATTCAATTAATAATAAAACTTATACATCACAGTGTAGAAGTAGAAACTGTTGACACTTTTATTGATATTTTTATTGAACTTGCAAACAACAGCAGCTGAATGCAGCTGAGCTCTTTCATTGTATACCCGGTAAAATTCTCGACTGTTCGCTGGCAGCTATGGATCCGTGCGCCTACCTATGCATTCGGCGCACGATCCATAGCTGCCAGCGCTGCATACTGTCGTAGGACGTTCCCGCGGTCGCGTGCGCCTTGCCGCGGAACTGCGCGCAAGATCTGCGCTCAGCGCTTCGGATCAACACCTCCTTTCGGCAACGCTTCTCTAGTATCCCGTCTCATCTGGATGGACCCATCAAGTATGTTATTTTCATGTGTCTAACCAATCTCACACTGAGAACAAGATATAACAGATGTAAAATGTAAGCATGTATGTACATGCGTATCTTGTTCTAAGATCTCAGATCAGTGAATAAGATATATATATGGATGTAAAATGTACGTATACAAATTACGGAGATACAAGAAGATGTATATATCTTGTTCTGAGAGTGTGTCTACCAACTACTACGTGCCCCACCAATCACAACATGTTCTCCGGTACTTCTCGGGAATAGGAATCGAATTGCAAAGGGAGTGATCAGGGATTGACCATTCGCTTTTATACTATTCATTCAATTTTCGTTACTATTCCGTCACCAACATTGTATCGTTCCATGATGCTTTGTTGTACTTGACGTATATATATCATACGTCTTATTGTAAATTTTTACGCGTGCTATTCGTTACGATGAGCGGGTTGATCATAATATGTAATATCAGCTTAAGAAATCCTACAATTTAAATGTTGAAAGAAAATTATAATTAGAGGTATTAGCAATAAATTCATGTCTTCATCATAATTAGCCGATTTTAATTCGCCTGAGTTCAAATGTTTAAAAACTACAACTAGAAATAATAGCATCCGATGCTAGAATAAAGGTATAAGAGATATTAGCATTGATTATAATTCTACATTGCCTACGTTGATTGTTTGAATATGCGAAAAGGATATAACTAGCAATATTAGCACCAAATGTGTGCCTTGATCATAATTCGACATTCCCCGCGTTAAGTTTCCGCTGCTATCCGAAGCCAAACTAATGTTAGCCCTCGATAAAAACAAAAATCAATACCAGCGCGCTTCCCCGACAGCTATGTGTGCTTTGTAAATAATACGCTATAACTAAATCGAGCGAATAGATGGAAACAGCGATAAAATTGATGCAACTTCCGCATGTATACCTAGATCAGATTGCCGGCTATTAGTAGAGCCCTGCAGCTGTCAGTAAGCATGTAGGGATCGTGGCCACTCTCTGCTGGCTGGCTGGCTGGTGAAAGCTACAGCAATACATATATACAGATATATACCATCAGTGTAGGAATTTTGTAGAGTTACTCTGCAGCTATATCTGTACTGGTGTACAAACTTACGCTTCTTCCTGTCTAGCGCACTTTCTGCCTCCTCCAGTGTTGACGGCTTCATCGCTTTTCTTCTAAAAACATGATAGATACAGGTGGAAAATTCCTAACAAGGTCATTATAGCTATTATTCACGCATAAACTGAGACTGTACGTTTTTAAATTCACAGTGGCTAGAGTAGTAACGCGCCGGACACCAACCCATCTATCTAACCAATACTTAGATACAATAATGTAACCCAAACCCAAGAGGATATAACCCCAAGAGGATGTAACCCCTATCCTCTTGGGTTTGGGTTACATTATTGTATCTAACCAATACTATGCGATGCGATGCGATGCTATGGCTGCATGCCGATGTGTGCCCCCGGTAACACTCCTACTCTCATGATTATTATATCAGGGGTGAATATGAACAAATTGTTCTTATTTACTACTGAATATGAGCATTAGGTTGATCACTAGGTCTATTAGCCAGCCCATTCCACCGGGGCATCTTTGTCATGTATTGCTTTCGTGCCGTAGCTGTACACAAGGTGATCGAGGGTATGATGGGTAATAGAGATAAGAGGGCCCTTAGAGTAGGACGGAACCCTTCACTCACGTATTGTAGCTATATACAAGATACGTACAGCGCTACCAGGGAGCCAGAGTAGGTCTGTCCTATTTGCCCACGTAATACAGCTATTACACAGGGTATACGCTGGGTCACAGATAGGGGTTGAGAACTAGTACTGAACCCTGTATCTGTGCACAGGATTACTGAGATCCTAGAAAAAGGTCTGTAACAGGTGTAACAGGGTATACACAGGGTTACAGCTAGCGATTGTAGAATAGCACTGAACCCTCATATACTGTAGCCTTTATACAGTTACAGGGTATGCACAGGGTTACAGCTAGCGATTGTAGAATAGCACTGAACCCTCATATACTGTAGCCTTTATACAGTTACAGGGTATGCACAGGGTTACAGCTAGCGATTGTAGAATAGCACTGAACCCTCATATACTGTAGCCTTTATACAGTTACAGGGTATGCACAGGGTTACAGCTAGCGATTGTAGAATAGCACTGAACCCTCATATACTGTAGCCTTTATACAGTTACAGGGTATGCACAGGGTTACAGCTAGCGATTGTAGAATAGCACTGAACCC